TATGGTTTCTCATGAAAATTCTTAACCTCCTTTAAGCCTTTTTAATCACCAGGAATCATGTCAACTACATCTTACACTCCCCAGATTAGGGGCATTTGAATGAACCAAATATTTTATAATATACTACTTTAAGTAAACTTTCATTAAAATGTACCTAAAATTAATTTAAATTTTTTAAAATTAGTTAAACTTTTAAAAATTAAGATTTTCAAAAAGCAGATTCACTAGTCATTGCCACTAAGATTAAAAATCAAATGCCTTGGGGTGCCTGGGTGGCTCAGTGGGTTAAGCCTCTGCTTTCGGCTCAGGTCATGATCTCAGGGTCCTGGGATTGAGCCCCGCGTCGGGCTCTCCGCTCAGTGGGGAGCCTGCTTCCCCCTCTCTCTCTGCCTGCCTCTCAGCCTACTTGTGATCTCTCTCTCTGTCAAATGAATAAATTTAAAAAAATCTTAAAAAAAAAAATTAATTGCCTCAAAATTCCCCTAGCCTGATTTCTATCATCTTAATTCAGTTGGGCCTGTTTTTGAACCCACTCTGCTGTTTCTACCTTCCTTTTGTTCAGCTTCATGCGAGGCTCATCCACAATCTGTTCTCATTCTCATTACTGAAGAGCAGTCCATTTGTATAAACTAAGCAGTTGTCCATTCCACTACTGATGAACATATGGGTTGTTTCCAACTTGAGGCCATTTTGAATAACAGTGTTCTGTACATTCTTTGACATGTCTTTCAGTACCCACATGTCTGCTGTGTTTATCCAAGAATGGAGTCGCTGGGTCATAGGAGATATAGATGTCCAGCTATAGTAAATGATACACCAAACAATTGCCAGGACAGTTGCACTAAGTTTTATACCCAGCAGCAATGTATGAGAGTTCCAGTTTGTCCACAACCTAACCAGGACAGGTATCCCCCACTTTCTGAAAGGTCAGATTATACCACTTTGCTTTTACAAAAGACCTACATTAGTAGCTATTTTTGTTAACCAAAAGAAATACAAAGATTTCCACTTCTACAGAAAAAGGCAAGAGGAGACAATGGCACTCCATGTTTGTTTTGCAGCCAGCACTTACAGAGGGAGCACACCCCCCAGCAGCAAGAGTGGGCCCAGGCTCCTTCCCGGGAAACTACTACGCTGAGGGTCTCAGCATCACATCACCAGAGCTCTGAACTCTTCCACTTGAACATCTGTGCTTGGCCTTCATTTATTCTGTGCATCCACCAGCGAAATGTATCCTAAGGTATCAGAAAAACTTAAGAGGGATTATTCTGGGGGTCTGGAATGCTCAAAATTTTTCCATATAAATTAATGGTAATTCCTCCTTTGCTTCACATTTCAGCTTATGAAAGATTTTACAGGAACTCTCTGCTTTTGGATAGCGGGGGAAGACTGCATATACTTAGCCCTCACTCTGGTGAGTATAGAATGATAACGCATTCTCATTTTAATTTGCATTTTCCTAATTACTAATGAGATTAACCATCTTTTCATGTGCTTAAGAATTTGGATATCTTCCTTTGGGAAGTGACTTGCCCATTTTTCTATTGGGCTGTCCATTTTTTCCCCTAATGATTTGCAGAAGTTGTTTCTACATTGTGGGTAGGAGTTCTGTATTGGATATATGTAATTACAAATATCTTCACCATTCTGTAGCTTACTTCCCACTCTCCTTATGGAATCTTTAAATGAACAGAAGTTCTTACTAATCTTGTTCCTTTATAATTGGTTGCTTTTTGCGTCCTATCCCACAAACTTTTGACTGTCTCTAGGTAATAAAGATATTTTACTTTGCTTTCTTCCAGAAGCTTTATTATTTCAGCTTTCACATTTAGGTATGTGATGTATCTTAATTACTATTTGTATTTGGGATGAGGTAGATGACCAAGAGTCATTTTGTCCAATGGAGATCCAGTTGGCCTAGCATCATTAACTGAAAAGGCCGTAGTTTCTCCAGTGCACCAAGGTGTCACTTTTGTCACAAACCACACATACATGTGATATAAGTCTGATTATGGATTCACTACTCAGTTCCATGGTCTGTCTAGCATAGTGCCAATACCATACTAGCATATTATGTATTGATCTAGACATCCAAATTTGCTTTTTCTTAGATTATCTAGAATTTCCAAATAAACTTTAGAACTGGCTTATCAACTTCTATTTTTGAGAAGACATCTGCTTGAATTGTGATTGGGATTGTGCTAAATCTATAGATTCATTTGCAGAGCAATGACATATTCTCCATTGTTTAAATCTTTAATTTTTCTCATTAATGTTTTAGCTTGCAAAAAGTTTTTATCATGAATCAGTGCTCAATTTTGTCAAATAATTTTTCTCCTTTATGTGTATGTAGTTAAATTACATTTGACTTTCTGATGTCAGCCGAAGTTTCCCTCCCTAGAGTAAGTCCAAATTGGTCATGGTTTAGTCTCCTTTTTATAGACTGTTAGATGATTTACCAATACATCATTAAGACTTCTGCATCTTTTGTGTGAGACTATAACCTGGAATTTTCTTGTAAATTTCTTCCTCATCACGCTTTAATAACAAGATTATGCTGGCCTCATAAAAGCTGCCAGGAATTGTGTCCTTTTTCAGTTTTTTAAATGTTTGGACTATTTCCCTTATGAAATCATGTGGGTTTGAAAATTTTGCTTTGGAAAGGATTTTAACAACAAATTTAATTTCTTTAATAGATACAGGACTATTTTGCTTTTCTAGTTCTTATGTCTTAGTTAAGGGTTTGTTTTTTTTTTTTAAGTATCCATTTCATCTTAACTTTCCAACATATTACCAGAATTATTCACATTTAAAATCTTTTAAATGTTTTGGGGATATACAGTGAGAACACCTTTTTTCTTCTCTGGCACTGGTAATATCATACTCCATTAAGGTTTACAGGCACTCTCAAAAAAAAAAAAAAAAAAATCTCCTGTACTATGTGACACATAGCCACTAACACAAGACTATTCTCCAGCAGAATCATCCACAGGAGCAGAGTTTATATTGACTATAAACAATTCAACAATTCCCTCTCAACAGCTTTTATCACTAGAAATAACTGAACCTGAGTAAAAGGAGACACTAACTGAAAGACAAAGAAATGGGTATTTGTAACGCTCTAGGGTGTCCAGCAAATACTCAGAAGAAAAACCACTAAGTAGGGTTTGTAACCTTGGATACCCACCCCACCACCTCCAAGACATCCATAGGTAGAATTCAGGAGGCCACAAACCTATAAAGTCACTCATACAGCTTTATTTTCATGAACTTCTAGAACAACTGCAGGATTTTTATAAATATGACAACAAACCATATTAGAAGGAGTTCTGGCAACTTTGTCACCAATAGAAATCAGATACTTTCGTTACACAGCGCAGTTACTGCAAATATTGGGAAATATTATTTATGTGGGCATCACTACTTTGAAATTATGAGTTGATAGAGCTAAATTTTGTTACTTAGTGCATTAATAAACACAAAATACTCTTATCACAAATGTGGGGGTTTGTTACACTATTCTGATAACTGTTTCAATGTAATTTGTAACTCTATTAATTTTTTAATGCCTTCTAAAAATTGGCCTCCCCAGACTCCAAAGAGATCCATTCATGTGTGTGTATACAAACACACACACACATGCACACACACTTAAAAATCTTACAAGGAATTAAGGATTTCACCCAAGGGAAGCAACTCCAAAGCAAAAATCAAGGAGAATCTTTCCTTGGCCAGGCCCTCAGCTGCAAGCAGGAAACACTCAGTTAAGTAAGGCCTGGGCTGGCTAGTTTTTGATGTTACCTACAGAGTTCCTACCAACATCTAGCCTCCCACAATGATGACTGGTCCCTCGGAGACTCAGCCTTGACCCTAAGTTAGTCTATCTAACCTGCTGCCCAAGGAGGGAGCAAAATAAATAATAGATACAGCACAGGCTTTGATCCAGAAAAGGGAGTGTAAAACTCAGCCCTGAAATCTACTAGTCTGTGCCTTTGGCATCTCCTCTCTTCTGCCGTGAAAAAGGATAACACTACCTACCATCCCTGGTGACTGCAATTTAGGTACAGTGGATTCACAGCACCTGACAAGCACATCGGCCTTGTTAGTATTAGTTGAATCTTTCAGGTCAGAACTAACTGTCCTTGTTCTATACTAGTCACAATTACGGACTGCCACAGAGAAAAAAGAGGTAAGAATTATAGAAAAGATGGAGCATGAAGAATGGAAGCGGCGGGAAGACTGTACTTGGTTCTTCAAGTTCCAGTATAAAAACCACCCCCTCAGTGAAGCCTTCGCTTTCGTCTCCTGTACCCACGGCACTTAAGTAAGGCCTAAGCACCCAGCTCTGAGAGTGAGTGCATGAATGAGGAATACAGCACAGAAAGAGACAGACAGTGAGTCTAATCCCCATAAAATGCAAACCACCAAGGACGCCAATCCCCTAGTAGCACAGCTCTGATCCAAAAGCCATGAACCAAGGAAGCAGCACATTTCTTAACACCAAGGCCACCCCAATACCTGGACTGCCCGGGGGGTGGGGGGTGGGGAAGCTTTCCACGTAAAGACCGGTGCCACCTGCAGGCTAGACTTTGAAGACGGCACCTGAGTCTGAAGAGTAGAAACCAAAATAAATTAACTTCGGGGGTCACTTGAGCCGCAGCAGTAGGACCGGCGCACGTCCAACACTGCCTGGGGGACCAGCGGAAACTAGGGACCAACGCCGGAGAGAGGCCGCTGGCGGGGGCGTGCGCGGACTCCGCCCGGCCTGCGGGAGCCCGGCCACCCCGCGGGGAGCCCGGCGTGCCCCGGGGCGCACGGCCCACGCCGCCTTTGTCTCCACGGCGGGACGGGGCGCCTCCTCTGCCCCGCCCCCGGGCCCACACGCAGGAACCGGGGTAGGAAACGGAAAATGCCTAGAGCATTTCTGGTTCTCCAGCGAGCACACCACGCAAGTCAGCACGTAACATCCCCGGGACCCGCTACGGGCCCCGGCTACCAACCTCCGGGCTGTCCCGGGCAGCGACCGCCGTGTTCACGCGCGCCACGAGTCCCCAACAACCCTCTCGGCACTTCCGAGTCCCGGCGGCGGCGGCGGCCGGCTTCCCGGGAAGCCGCCCTCTTGCCCGGGAGCGGCAGTTGGAGAACCAACCCCGCGCGCGTGCTCGGAGCGCGCCCCCGGCTCCAGGCAGCCCGGCTCGGACGCGCGCGGCGCTCCGGGAGCCGGGCAGCCGGCCAATGGGCGCCGGGTGTATGGGGTTCTGGCGGCGGGCGGGCGCCCTACCCCATCCCCCCCGTCTTCCTCGCTCGCCCGCACCGGGGCTGCAGGTTTGTCCGCCGGGCGGTGTCTGCCCCTTCCGTTTGCTAGTTGCGGGCCCGGGGCTGCCCCGCACGTTCCGAGCGGAAATCACCTGAAACTCCAGGGCGCTCTAAATCCAGCCCAGTGGTCCCCACGGACGCTCAGCAGGCGGGAGGAGGTAGCTTGGTGGGGTGGAAGGAAGGCGGGCTTTGTGGATTGGCTGCTTGACCTGCTTGCGGTGTGAACATAGCCCCTGGAAGCATCCCGGCCCTCCTCAGTCAAGCGGAAATACTTAACTTACTTAATACTTCACTTAATACTTAACTTACTTAATACTTAAACACTTAACTCTGCTTGCCTCAAGAGTTAAGAGTGGAGACCGAATGGGATGAACGTTATCACCCGTAAAGCCATTTACAGAGATGATCACCACCGCAAAATGTATACCAGTGATTTAGAATGGGTTGTAAAGAGTAGACGTGACTTCGGCTGAGCGTTGTTAATCAGAGGACAGAGCCTGCCAGAGTTCCACAGACCTACCTGAGCCAGAGCACCACCTGGCTTTAAAACCAGAGGCATCTGAATCCCTCTTCAAGCCAAAGGAATCACACTCCCCAGGGGACGGGTGTCTCAGGTGGTTCTATGCTCAGGTAAATGTGGGTAACTCTGCCTTAGGCAGTAGGAAAACACAGGCTCTAAATTTAATCTAGCCGTCATTGAAATAGTCCAGGAGATTATCTTTCTGACTGAAAATTTCTCCGAGAAACCAGAGCATAAACTCTGAAAACAGGAACTGTCTTCTCTTTCAGCGCTCACCACCCCCCACTCCCACTGCCTAGTACAAGATGGTTTAGGTAAGCAGGTGTTAAACTAGCTCCAAGTAGAAGTGCCAGATGTACCAAATAAAAATACAGTCTGCCCAATTGAAATTGAATTTCAGATGAATAACCAATACTTTTGAGATATCAGTATGGCCCATACAATATTTAGGAATACTTATACTTTAAAAAAGTATTAGTTGCTTGACTGAAATTAAAATTAATTGGGCAACCTGTATTTTATCTGGGAACCCTCAGCCTCACAGACGGAGTGGCAGAAATAACAACTCAGCTCAGGTAGTGGCAGACTCGGGGACAGGAATGAGATAACAGTTCCTACGTTATTTCTAAATGACACTAGTAGACAATAATGTAGGTTCACTGTCCTTTACACTTAACCCCTTTCTACACAAACAACACAGCCACCTGAAAACACATAGAAAAATAAAGGCAGTTATAGTCATAAGTACATTAGAAACATCAATTAAATTTTAAAAAGTCAAAATGTAAAGAGAAGCAATAGACTAGGAAAAGTACTTGCAGGCACTATAATGCAAAGTTGTTACTTGTTATTATATATGGATTAAATAAGAAAACTTAGAAGCCTGCTGCAGGTGAGTAATAAGACACATAAATAAAGAATCCAATAAAAAAAATTGTTGGGATACACAATTAGGAAACATACTGCAGAAAACTTAAAGAAGTGCAAAGTGGGGGTGTCTGGGTGGCTCAGTGGATTAAAGCCTCTGCCTTCAGCTCAGGTCATGATCCCAGGGTCCTGGGATCGAGGCCTCTCTGCTCAGCGGGGAGCCTGCTTCCCTTCCTCTTTCTCTGCCTGCCTCTCTGCCTACTTGTGATCTCTGTCAAATAAATAAATAAAATCTTTAAAAATAAATAAATAAAAGCTTAAAAAAAAGAAGTGCAAAGTGAAATAACACATGATTTTCATACACAAAGTTGGCAGAAGTTAATAAATGACATTAAAGGAGCACCTGGGTGCCTCAGATGGTTAAGCGTCTGACTTGGTGTCAGCTCAGATCATGATCTCAGGGGCCTGGAATCGAGCCCCGAATCTGACTCCATGCTCAGTGAGCAGTTGGCTTGAGATTCTTTCCCCTTCTCTTTCTCTCCCCCTCTGCTCCTCCCTCTTGCTTGCATATGCACGCTCTCTCTCTCCGTCTCCCTCTCTAAAATAAATAAAATCTTTCTTTAAAAAAAAGTAACTTTCTTTAAAAAAAAAATAATAACATGGCATTAAAGACTGGCAAGGGTGCCGTGTGATATCACTCACCACTTTTTAGTTAGGTAAACAATTTGGCAGTAGCAAAACCATTCAAATGTATCAAAATTCCTAAAACCTTCTGAACTCTGTTTATGACAATAAATCCAAAGGAAATTATCCATAATGTAGAAAATACTCTTTATGAACAAAGATTTTAATTTTAACTTATATCATTTTAACTAATTAATAAGAAGGGAAATGTACTATAACATACCAAAATATACTATAATAAAGGGGAAAATATCATGGAAACTCCTGAATTTTCCAAAAATAAAAAAGTAGAAATTAAAAATGTATACACTCTTCAGTCTATTAGATATACAGCTTTTTAAAATAATGGCCACCGGGGCGCCCCGGTGGCTCAGTGGGTTAAAGCCTCTGCCTTCAGCTCAGGTCATGATCTCAGAGTCCTGGGATTGAGCCCCGCATGGAGCCCTACTTCGGGCTCTCTGCTCAGCAGGGAGCCTGCTTCCTCCTCCCTCTCTCTCTCTCTGCCTCTCTGCCTACTTGTGATCTCTGTCTGTCAAATAAATAAATAAAATCTTTAAAAATATTAATAATAAAATAATGGCTACTATTCATATGTGATATGACAAACTATATCTTTTTTAAACCTGTGTGTGGAAAAATAACTGGAAATGATTGAAAAGGAAATAAAGTTAAATTTGGGTGGTGGGACTAGCTTTATTTTTAGTTTTTCCACATTTTTATTAAATACAAATTAATTTTATAATAGAAAATTAATGTGTTACCCCTGAAAAAAAAAACCTTTTCTTTCCGTAAAGTTAGTTTTAGGGACTCTAGAATCTCACTTTTGTATAATCATATACTTAATGCTGAGACTTTCTAAATATTTAAAATCTCCTTAAAACATTTTCCCTAAATATAAACACCTTAACAAACTTTGCATGTTATCTGTTAACCTAGAAACTAGCCTTAGCAAATTCTTAGTCCAATGTTGAATTCATAAACTTAGTCAGTCACATAAGTATATGGTAATTAAAGTGACTTAAACATTTCTTAAAATTCAGCAAATCATATGAGGCCTTAGATTTTTCTCCCATCAGATTACATTCTGAAAGAGGACAAACATAATAGCATAGACCTTTTTTTGTAGTAGTAAAATACACATACAACATTTACCATCTTAACCAATTTTTTTAAAAGATTTATTTTGTTTTAGAGAGAGAGCACGCGAGCTTACACATGTATGTGGGGTCTGGGGGGAGGGACATAAAGGGTGAGTGAGAGAGAGCATCTCAGCAGACTCCCCACTGAGCTTGGAGCCTGATCTCAAGACCCTGAGATCACAATCAAAGCCAAAACCAAGAGTCAAATGTTAAAACCACTGAGCCACCCAGGCGCCCCCCAGTCTTAACCATTTGTAAGGGTACAGTTCAGTGGTGTTAAGTTCATTCACAGTGTCATGAAACTCCAGACTCTTCATCTTGCAACACTGAAACTCTGTACCCATTAAATAATATATCTCTACTACCCTCAGCCCCTGGAAACCACCATTCTACTTTCTGTCTCTATGAATTTGACTTATCTAGGTACCTCATATACATGGAATCATACAGCATTCGTCCTTTCGTGAATGGCTTATTTCACTTTGCACAATGCCCTCAAGGCCTTATTATAGCCTGTGTCAGAATTTCCTTCCTTTTTAGGTTGAATGATATTCCACTGTACATATATATCACGTTTTTATCCATTCATCTGTACATGGACACTTGGGTTCTTTCTACCTTGTGGCTATCATAAATAAAGCTTCTATGAACATGGGTATACAAATAACTCTTTTTGGTGACTGTGCTTCCAATTCTTTTAGCTATCTACCCAGAAGCAGAATTGCTGGATCATACAGTAATTCTATTTTTAATTTTTTGATGAATCATCATACTGTTTTCCATAGCAAGGGCACCATTTTACATTCCCACCAACACTGCACAAGGGTTCCAATTTCCCTACATTTTCACCAATGCTGTTATTTTGGGTTTTCTGTGTTTTTTTGACAGCAATCCTCCTAATAGGTATGAGATAATATCTCACTGTGGTTTTGATTTGCATTTCTCTAATAATTATTGATGTTGATTATCTTTTCTGTGCTTATTGACCAGTTACCTATATTCTTTGGAGAAATGTCTATCCAAGTCTCTTGCTCATTTTTAAACCAAATTGTTTGTCTTTTTGTTGTTGAACTATAGTTCTTCATATATTCAAGATATTAACCCCTTATCAGATAAATGACTTACAAATATTTTCTCCTTTTCCATGGGTTGCCCCTTTACTCTGTTGATTGTATTCTTTGATGCAAAGAAGTTTTTCATTTTGATGAAGTCCAAGTTATCTGTTCTTTTTCCTTTGTTCTCCTGTGGCTTTGGTGTCATATCCAAGAAATCAGTGCCAAATCTAGTGTGATAAAGTTTTCTCTTATGGTTGCTCCTAAGAGTTTTATAGTTTTAGTACTTAAGTTTAGTTGTAAGATCGATTTTGAGTTAATCTTTATATATGACATAAGGGCCCAAATTTATTCCTTTTCTCAACACCATTTGTTGAAAAGCCTACACATCTTTCAAAGGCCAGGGTTTAGAGTGAGGGTGTTGTCTGGGTTGAAACACCAGGAGAAAAGTTGGGGTTATTTAGAAGAAGGGAGAAAAGAGGAGAGGATTCTCCCCACCCTTCAATGCTTCACACAGGCAGAAATGTCTGGCTTTCAAAGATCTGTACCTGTCTTAGAAAAGAAGTATCAGGGTTCTGGGGTGTCCTGAC